ACGAGTAAGGTCGCATCCAATAAATAAGATGTTTAACGTCTAATCTTAAACTTTATTGGAAACGATCTACGACATGCAGACAAAGAAAGATAATTAATTTCACGATGATCCGGATTTCACGATCATCAGCGACAGTGGGGAAGCCAATTTTCAAATGTCACTGACTATAATAAATATTTGGCAATTAAATTACCTCCATTATCTTTTAAAATTTAGAAGTTAAAATTCGAAATTATAAAAATTTTAATTTTTAAAATGAAATTTTAATAATTTAAAAAAATTTTTAACTTTTAAATTTCAATTTTCCAAATTTTCAATTTTTACAATTTCAAAATTTGAAAAATAAAATTTTCACTTTTGGCCCAAACGAAACACCGTATGTGTCATATGATTAGTTCCGATCGATGGATCCAGGTCATTTCATTACGATACAGAGGATCCAATTTTCGGGTCGTAATGCATTGGAACCCTGCTTGAATTGATCAATTATGCTCAAGGCCACGTAAAATTTTACTATTGAAGTCATAATCATTCGTTAAGCAAAAAAAAATCCACCCGATGATTTTACATAGGCATGATCGGCTAGTCGTTTAATGCTGGCTCAGTTCGATGAAATGTAAAAATATTAAATATGTAGGCCTTAAGTATTCTCTGTATACACTCACAGTTCCCGAGTGCATATTCTTAAAAAATTTACCTATACTGTATTTCAAAAGGGGATATGAGCCTATGAAATAATCAGCTTTGTGGTACCATGTAACATTTAACCTACATGATATTTAGGAGGTGTGGCTATACTATATTTGAACAAAAATGAACTTACTCCCTTTAAATTAACATAAAAAATAGTTATTGTTTGCTATGTTTTCTCGAAAACTGGCAAGTAATTTTATACTAACTATCTTTAAGAGTGATCAAAAATAACCATTAATAAATTATCTGTTTAAAGATAGACAGAAATGATTGATACGCACTCTCTAAAGTTAATAGAACAAATAATTAAATCTTATATGTCGACGTATTAGTTGTAAAACGAATTTTATATTCATTCTCTGGTGAATTATTTTGATGATTTTAAAATAAATTAATCTTATTAATTTTGATTTTGAACAAAAATGAACTTACTCCCTTTTAAATTAACACAAAAAGTAATAATTATTATTTGTTATACTGTATCTAATGTTAAAAACGGACAAGTGATTTTATACTAACTCTCTTTAAATGATCAAAAAAAAATTATTAGTAAATAATCTATTTAAAGATAAACAGAAATGATTGATACGCACTCTCCAAAGTTAATAGAACAAATAATTAAAGCATATATATGTCGGCGGATTTGTTATAAAACGAACTTTATACTCACTCTCTGGTGAATTATTTTGATGATTTTAAAATTAATCAATTTTTATTTTTTAATCAGTTATGAATAAAATGTGTTGTGCTTACACCCTAGAGATAAGTGGGTATATTGCTTGTTAGAATTCAAATGTGATTAATATTTACAGAATATAAGCGGTAAGTAATTTCTATGTTTCTATGCTTACAAACTATTGCATATGAAAAACAGTTTAACGAAGACTTCATGAGCAAATTATAAATAAATAGTATTAATATAAAATTTCAATAAATTAACTTTATACTCACACTCTAGTAATTTAAGAATATAACATATGAATTGATGTTTAATTAGAACTTTTTAATATTAAAATTTAATAATAAACTCTATTCTTACTCTCTGGTAGTTTAACGTATAGTAATGAACAGATAAATAATATTTAATAGAGGTTTTATTGGTCATAAAGTGTACATTATTTTATAGTAATGTATATTTACAAACTAATGTATCAAGAAGATATAATTAATAAATAATCTATTGAAAAATATGGTTATTTGATATTAAACTATATATTTACATGTTGGTAATTTATCATATAAATGGAGGAACGGAGAAGTGATATTTAATAGAGAATTCTATTGATGATAAATGTATTTATTTAATACTTTACTATGATCAGTTTATATAATAAATCAATTATTTTATGATATTTTTAAATGATAAAATTTAATTGATATATTTCATAAATCTGAGATAGTAAAGCATAAAATAAAACTGTTATTGCATGCTCCGTATGCACTAATATATAATATCATTTTATAATACTTACGCCCTGATAATTTAGCATATAGGTGAAATGTTTAATCGAGAGTCTATCAATTATAAATGTTTACAATATTTTTATGAATAAACTATATACTTACGCCCTGATAATTTAACGCGTGTGTGAAACAGTGAAATAATATTTAGCAGAAAATTCTATTGATAGCAACGTTTATATTATTTATGAATAAACTTTATACTTACGAACTATATACTTACATGCTGTAATTTAACAGTGAAAAACAGAGAGGTCGTATTTAATAAAGAATTCTATTAATGATAAATATTTTATAAATAAACTAAATAGTGTACTTACGCCCTGGTAATTTAACGCGTAAATGAAAAAAAAAAACAAGAAATAATATTAATAGAGAATTATTGCTATATTGCCTATGAGGTGTAAACCACCATAGGTGCGTTTTAATAAAGTCATTTCTTTTATATAATGTTAATACCTTATAAAATGGTTACAAAAATTATTTTTAGAATTCATTATTATTAATCCTCTTTGTCGATACTATAAGGATCTACTGTGTGTTAATAATGCCTGACGAGTGGTGAGACTTTCGCCGTAGATGAATAATAAAAAAATGCTTCAGATTCACATACAATGTATAACTGAAAATTTAATTAATTTTTGTGGAGTTAATTTTATTTATAACGAAATAATGGCTTAGTAGATAAAAATTAATTATGTTTTCATACAAAACTATGAATATATAATAAATAACCAATGAAATATAGTAAATTTGAAAAGATTAATATTCAGAGCATTCAGATGCCATTAGAATTCTACGATTACAAGTCTGCAAACTTGCAACAGGTAATTTAATGCGTAAATAAAATAATATTTAATGACTATGTAATGTAAACATTATTCATGAATAAACTATATACCACTCCCTAGTAATTTAAAAGAACAGAAAAACAAAATTAATAGAATTTTATTGATGTCAAAAATGTATCCATTATTTTATGAAAAGTAATGCATTACTTTCTGATAGCTTAAGACGTAAGTGAAAGAACAGATAATTAACATTTAAAAAAATGTGGTAAAAAAAAATTCAGAAAAATAACATTAAATAAAAAAAATCTATTAATGTTAAAATATGTACATTTATTTTATGAATTAATTATATACTTACTCTTCTGGTAATTTAACACAAAGTGAAAGAACGGAGAAGTAACATTCATTACAGGTTAGAAAAGTTATATTGATGATTAATGTGCGCATTATTTTATGAATAAAGTATATACATATATCTGGCATTTATATGTAAGCAAAAAGATAGTAATTTGACAACGTTAACATAAGGTAATAATTCTATATACTTACTCCCTGACATGTAATTGAAAGAACAAGATATTTATTTATTACAACGTCAATATAGCCTCATCTAATAATACAATTTAGATTATTAAATCATGCTATAATACAAACAAACTCAGAATTGCAAACGAATATAAATGCCACCTAATCTTAAAAATTTTACAAATTTATTAACTGTATTATAAGAATACAAGAAATAATTTATAATCATATGTTCATGATTAAAAGCTAGATATCAATTTAATATTTATGAAAAAACTAATATAATAGAAAAAATTCATAAATTGTTTGTTTATTGTTTAAATGATTGACAAATAAATAGTTTTCAGTAAGCTAAAAAAATAATTTAATGTTCCGTGTTTAAAGCTTTATTGTTTCCATCACTTTGTATATCATTTTCTTTTGCCTAAAAGAAATATTTATGAAAATCATTAACTTACTTAAATATACTAGTTAATAGGTTGATTACCTTAAAAAAGAAGCCCCTATTCCTTGGAGACAATTGACTTAATTGTTTTTCTGCATCCTTATGACCATTATCTGCTGCTTTTTTATACCAAGATTTTGCTTCGTCCAAATTTTTTTCAATTCCTATTCCATTCTTATAGCATCTCGCAAGATTGCATTGCCCAAATGGAATATCTGCTTCAGCAGCTTCTTTATAATGTTCGAATGCTTTTTTTTTATCTTTATCCTCCACTATTCCAAGTTCATAACAATTTCCCAAATTATTACATGCAGAAATGCAACCTTGATTGTATGAATCTTTAAAATATTTAAAAGCTTCTTGCTTATCTTTTTTAACACCTTTGCCATTTAAGTAACAAAGGCCTAAAGCATTTGTCGATCTTGCACATTTTTCACTTGCTTCACTTGCGCTTTTATGCCAATAAATTGCATTTTTAGGATCTTTTTTAATTCCATAACCACATCTATAACATTCACCAAGGTAAAATTGTCCAACTGAATTATTTTTATCCGCTACTTGTTGAAATATTTTGAATGATTTATCAAGTTGTTTATTAGTTCCAATTCCGATGAAATAAAAAAATCCAAGAAGGCATTGTGCATTTGTATCATCAGGTAGATTTTTAAGTTCATCAAACATAGCTTCCAAATTTTTTCCATATTTTTCAATTAAATCTTTTATTTTCTTAGAAATTTGTTGAAATTCATTTCCACGATTTGTTGAATCTCTAAATTCTGACCACAATTCATTGAGTAAGAATGGTGGCTCTTCTACAAGATAAAAATGTTTGTAATTTTTAAGATTAATGTATAAAGTTTACAAATTTAAATTAATATATTATATATAAATAATAAATATTTACCGGAATCATCAATTGGAATTTTATTTTCAGGAATTTCATAAGTAATGGATCCAACATCAATTTCTGACATCCCAATAAGTTCATGAAGAATTCTTTCTAAGTCTGGACGTTGAACTGGATCAGTAGACCAACACTTTTCATAAAGGTCAGAATATTTCTGGGGTGTGCCTGGAATAGGTTTTTCTCGAAGACCTTTTGTGATATTTAGACATATAGCAGCAGGTTCAGAATTTGCAAATGGAGGAATTCCACTTGTGAGTTCCCAAAATAATACACCAAGACTATAAATGTCAGATCTCTTATCACGTCTAGTCGCACTATTAATAAAGCATTGAGGTTCAATGTAGCCAAAAATGCCTTTTAATTCTAAACTAAAAGAAGCAGCTTCATTTAATTGTTTTGATAATCCAAAGTCAGCAATAAGAGCCCTTTCATTATTTATAAGAATATTTTTAGAATGCTATAAAAATTTTTTTAAAATTAGTAAGTTAAGAATTTTGATTAAAATTAAAAATTTAATAAAAGTAAACATTTAAAAAGGTTATATAGCTTACTAAGTCTCGATGAATAATATTTTTATTATGCAAATGAGTTAAACCAAGGGCTATATCAGTTGCAATTCGTTTAACATCACTCGATGCAATTTGAAAAATTCCATTCGACTGCTTGCGTTTTAAATATTCACGCAGGTTTCCATCATTTGCTAATTGTAAAACCAATACAATACCCTTTGTATGTGGATCTAAATTTTAATATATATTATATATATATATTAAAATTTATTATTTAAAAGTTTTTTTTTAAATATAAATTTAAATAGAGTTTATACATATTGTTAGAATCCTTTTTTAATACCTTCAGAAATTCCATAAAATTTAATGACGTTTATATGATCAACTTTATGAAGAATTTGAAGCTAAATATTTTAATAATTTAACAGGATATTCAATAGATTTAGATCTTGAAAAGTTCAAGGATGTGTGATGAATAAAATGTTACCTCACGAGTTGCTACTCTTAACATTTCTTCATCTGTCACATGTTTCAATGCATAATTTTCGTTTTCTAAGGTAGCAGAGAATACATTTGCAGATGCACCTCTTCCAATGCGATGGATATCTGTAAATGATGAGTACTCGAATTTTTTTACATCATTTTCTACTAGTTTATCTAAAATATTCATTTTTTTTTCATTATATTAGCATTCATAATGTTGTTTAAACTTAATAAATATAATTAAAGAATATTAAACGATGGCATACGAAAAGCTTCAGTAGTTGAAATCATACTATCTTTTCTAACTACTTCGAGCATACTTTGTCGTGAATCCATTATTGCATATACTCTTGAAGATTTAAAAAAATTAATCGCAAATATAAATTAAAAAAAAGAAAAAAATCAACGGAACAAGTCTCATTTATTCCGATGAAAATATATTAAGCACATAACATACGCACGTATGTAACGCAAACGATCAATTCTATTTTCAAAAAATTTGTGACAAGTGAAATTTCCTTAAATATACCATTTTCTAAATTAAATTATTATACTGCAGTACTGTACACAGTAGTTTCATTGTGTTAAGGTTAATCGGTAAACACGTCTCTTAATATTAAATGAAAATCCTTAAAAGTTTTAATATATACGACTGGCTTTCTAATTTTTCAAATTCTCTTGAACTAGTGAATTTACACCAACTAAAATTACATTTATTGGATTCTTTAAGACTATAAAATGGTTTTATATTTCTTGATTTTAATAATTTGTTTTTCTTACCTTGGTATATATAAAAGAGCTATTGAAATCTACCCTCATCTGGTATTCTCACTGGTTCAAGAGATATTGTAATTTGCATTAATCCTATAATTTTGTATTTCAATTCATTATTTAGTGTAGCGAAAAACAATCATGTTTGAGTATAACGTAATACAATCGGAAAAATTCAAGTAAAAATTTTTTGCCGAATCTCCTGTTTCTTAGAAACCCTGCACAAAAAGGTTTTCGAGTAAAAATTTAGTCCAGTTAAAATTATAGGTAATATATTAATAATTTAATACCCCGATCACTATTCAAGATCACGGGAGTATTAATTAATAATACCCTGACCGTATGTGAATTAGCGGGACTTTCAGCCCCGCTAATACCCAACGGATCAGGATATTATTATTACAAAGATCGTCATAAAGGAAATGCGATGTAAGATTATCGTTGAGATGTTCGTGTAGAATTTGATTAGGCAGATGTAGTATTCGATAAATTCTTTTACATAATGTTCAAACCTTGTAAAACGGTTTCAGATGTTATTTTTAGAATTCGTAATAATCCTCTTGAACAATGCTAATCCATAAATGTATCGCTAAAATTCTATATAGAACTATAAGCAACGTTTATCAAGGATCTACTGTTTGTTAATGTTGGTTAATGCCTGACGATTGGCGAGACTTTCGTCGTTGACGAATCAATTTCTGAATGACGAATTAACAAGAATGACGAAACTTATGACGACTAATGAAGTATAAGAATATTATTCTTTCTTTCATGACGGAAATAAATTGGTCAATAATGAAGTAAATTATTTTTATGATTGCATTATTATAATCAATTCTGTTTTTTTTTTTATTATTTTCCATGGCACACTTATTTGTCCCCAATGATAGCAGAGGTGTCCTAAAAAAAATTAATACTAATAGCTTCAGATTCACATGCGATATAAAACTGAAATTTAATATTTTTATGAGCTGTTAATTTTATTTATAATAAACTAATAACTTGGTGAAAAATTGGCCAGTCAATCGTCAAAGTTTTGTCAGACGAATATATTGGCGAAACCATTTCATCATTGCAAAAATAAATTTGTCATGCATTATTATTTTAAGAACCCAATTAAAAGCACCGCGAGAGCTAAAAGATCTCATACACTATTCGCAGGATAATGTGCAGATTTTGCATGGAACTTTTAGAATGTTCAGGACTCTATGATTGCAGGGTCTGTAAATTTGCGACAAGTAATAAATTATTAGTGAATTTAATAAATTAGGTAGTTTCTTTTTGGTTTAAATTTTTTTTTTTTTTTTAAAAAAAAAAAAAAAAACTTATGTCACTGCAGAATCTGCAAATTTAACGGTAATTGTAACAGTATTTGTAAGTAGAGCAACAGTACCCTGGATTTCAATTTGTACTACAGATTTAACTTCAATTATAGGTTTATCTTATACTGAAACCCAAACACTTTTACATGTTTACATGAATTGGGAAGACACCTCCGAATCTTGTGCGTACCATATATGTACATAAGTACGTACTACTTATCTGGTATTTACTTCGCATAAGTATTCATAGATACTGCTGCAATGATTTCTCTTTTTGTATTTTCTGTAATACATATTACGGTAGATACTATAGATCTATAGTATATTAATTAAGCCAAAACAAGCTAGTGCCTAAATTAGAAATATCTACTGTACATTGATAGTGTACTACATGTAACAACTTCTACAGTACGTACGTACTGTACGTACAGTATCTAAAAATGCACAATTCATTCGAAGTAATGAAAACGTTTCCTGGCTCGCAGTATTTTGCTAGTGAATAGTAAATCTATAAAGGAGCGTATTGATATTCAAACATTAGTACCGTTAATGAAAAACCTGTCATCGGGTTTTCAATTATATAATTATATTTTGTACCGAACAAAATTTATTAGGGAATATTTTCGGTACAAAATATTATTGAAAGCCCGATGACAGGTTTTCCTTGGCGGCATTCATATGCTTCCACAAAAAAAAATAAGTAATTCCGTGTTGCAGTATGTGATACAATAACAATATAAAATTATGAATAATTCCTGCATACCTTCTCTTTTTTAGTATTAAATATGAATAATCTGATTACAATATTGTATAATAAACTCGGATTTTATTATAGACCCGGATTTAGCGTATAAAAAATAATTCCGATACTCCAAAACTAAACCATTTTTATCAGATTACCTACATACGTATATGCTTTTATACTTTCTGTGCAGCATTATAAATATTTACACTTCTTTAAAGAACATTCTATACTTCGGAAATAACGCGATACATAAATTATTACATCATAACTTCATAGAGTTTTTAATTTATACCTTACATTCAGAGTAATATTTAGAATAAAATAGGAGACAATAATAAATTAATTTACCCTTTTTTTTTTTGTAATTTTTAGGTGGCTAACAATTTACATATTATGATAAAAATGTGTTAGTGTGAAGGCATATATGAATTAGGTAGAGTTTAAATAAAGATTGTATAATCTTTTTTCACGTTAGAGTAGATATTGTTCCTAGTTTGTATTAATGCTTTTAAATCATATATTCAATTTCATTTTGATTTTCCTCAATAATTATGGTCTGTTTTATACATGGTTTTTTAGGCGTGCACTCTGCATAAGCCGACGTATTCATTATTACTATCAATTATTGCCATATTGACCCTAAATCTTTGCATAATTACTTTTTTCTTACACTTTATTAAGAAGCTTACATGTCATCCGGAATTAAGAAATAAATACTAATAGAACTCCATACAACTTACTGTATACAGTATAAACAATTAAAATCTAATCATAAAACTAAAGATATATCAAACAATAAATAATTAAAACACCCCAAATATAATAAGACTAAATATAGATTTATTGTAAAAATATTCTCTTAAAAAAAAAAAGAGGGTTTCTATTTATTGCTGCGTAAGCTTACACAATAAAGGTAATACAAATATACAACAGATTTACAGCTATGGGAATTCCTTTTTTAGCCCAAAAACGTCAAACAAGTTTGAAAAAAATATTTACATCACATGAAAATAATAGGAATTTTGAAAATCATTTTTTTCCGGAAAACTATAATGCAATTCTTAAAATTGAATTCTTAAAACCGTGAAATGTTACATATGTTTCATTATTTCTGAATGGTGAAAATACAGTAAACCAAGTACAGTAAATACTTGGTATGAATCTAGAAAAAAACTTATATAAATGCTGACTTTTTTTCCTTTGTTATTATTAATAACCTTTTTTGATAAATTAATTGATTGAAATGGCTGAGCCAACTTTTCATCCTAAAAAAACAAAAATCCGTTCTTATACTCCAGTAGCATGTACGAATTGCAGGATCAAAAAAGAAAAATGTACTGGAACTCTTAGATGTTCAAATTGTGAACGACGTAACCTCGAATGTATATATATAAAATCGAACAAAAAACGAGGTCCTCTACCAAAATCAGACAGAGCAACACTCATTACTCCTGATATTTGCAATTTGTTAAATCCAATAAAGTAGTGTTTTGTTGATTTCATTTTTATATGTAACTATTATTCTAGTAAAAATTTGTTATTTTTCTTAATATTTTTTATTATATATTAAATAAGTTTTAGATATACAGTATAAACCATATATAATATTCTTCAAATTCACTTATTACACACACTTTTAACTATATGATTATTTTACCTGTCATGCAACAAATTAACATAAATTTAAATTCATAAAATATATTTATCAAAAAATATGTATGATTAAATATAAAATTTACCAACCCATTATTCATTAACCGTTTTATGAACGTAAAGTTTTGTTCTCAAAAATTGTTAATTCTTTGAACACTGTTTATAATCTCCATTTCTGAAAACTAGAAAACTGTACAATTATAATACAGTATCAATAATGTTTGTTAATAGTATTATAGAGATCTCAAAAAATTTAATAAAGAATTGTGCTTAAAAAACTCAGTGTTTTTTACAAAGCAAATAATGCTAATTTTGGCTTTTTATGACGGAATAACTCCGCTGATCACATTTTAGATCAAGATAATCTATCATCTTTCATTCAGTTATTATTAATGTTATTAATTTAATTATGTTATTTTTACCCATTATCTGTTCCGACCGTATTTTTGTAAACCAATTCCTCAAAATGCATAATACATTATATTTACACATTATCTGCTCCAATAGTATTATATATATTATATAATAAAATTATATTTAAATATACTATTTGACCAATTTGACCAGCACAGATCCTTTGACCAGACCGGTCAAATTGGTCAAATTGGTCTGGTCAAGCCAACACTGGGGTCATAATAAATAACTAATAAGTCACCATTGTCACATGTCATTTCTTCATTCTTATTATATCATATAAACTCAAAACCCTTCAATTCACTTCATAATAATGAATATTGATTTAATTAGCCTTTCAAATTGGCCTTAATTAATTAAATGAAATCTAAATAAAAGTTTAATTTAAGATATTACATATTTTATTGATATTTCATCTGCTATTATCAGCTAAAAAAAGCTTTCTATAGTTGCATATAGTTTAGTTCAATGGATGACATCAGTTAACTTGCATAAACTAAATATAGGCATGAAACTTGTGTTTTTATGATTTACTAGTCAATTATGAAAAAACTCATACCAATATAGAAGATAAATTTAGCAAACCAAGGATGAGAGTACGTACTTGTATACATATATATATTATTATGGATTGCGTAAGATCTCATTGAACGCTTCCGTGTCATTGATCTACACCATGAGACACGATACACACACCATCTTATTATCACTAGAAAAATGCGTAGCATTATGTATCCGGAGCATATCATATGATGCTCATCAGGCGCGTGAATGTGTACATTTTTGTTACACTAAATTACAAATTTGAACACAGTGCAAGAGCGATTTACTTATTTGCGCGGGTAACACAAACCAAAAAAGGAAATCAAATTTTGTAAATAAACTAAATGCGTAAAATAGAAGTTTAGGATTAGGACGTTAGGGTTGTGAGCTTTAGCGATAAGTTGAAGTTTTTTATATGTAAAATTTTATCCCGTTATTTTTTATTGGTCCACAAAAGTCGATTTAAACACTAGTTTTTGAGTATTTTCGCTTTCTTTTCTTTTTTTCTTCTTTCGCGCGTGTTCGGATTCTATGTCGGGCTGATCCGGAATACCCGAAATTTGGGTTCTCTGATTGGCCATTTCCCTTTTGGAGGTTTGTATTACCCGCGCAAATAAGTGGATGCGTAGTGTAACGGTTGAATGGGAGAGCGATAAACAAATATAGACAATAGTGCCAATTTAAACCCCAACCGTGTATGGAAAGGATGGTTTATATAAACTAAATGGAATATTGGTAGGTCTTAAAGTGAATCGGTCTTAAGAACAATTATGAAGATAACTTGATCCAAGAATGATATTGATATTAAGGGGATGAGCTATTTTGGACTTTACTATTTAAAATCGCTGATGCTGGTGATGCCAAAGGAGGTGGGGCTTTACTTTTCAC